AAAAATTCGGAATCCAAGAAAATAGCCCAAAAATAGTGGAAGAAAAGAAGATTTCTTGGATGAAAACACTCACAAACACTTCAATAACTTGAATATCAAAAGACTTACAAGTTTGCACGGATACAATGCTCTCAATTCGAGAAGAGAAGCTTTCTCCCAAGCCCTAGAGAAAAAGAAAGCTAAAACAGCCACCAAACAAGATCCCTCCAAAAAGCCCCCCTAACTCACTTTTAACTCTCACATAAACCCCTCAAAATCCCCTCATTACCCCTAGGGCAAACACCTCATCCTTCCTCTTCAATTTGGTGGGCCCCTTGGGCCCACCCATTTGCTTCTCCCCTTCGGTTTGTCCGCCCAGGCAGGCGGGTTCTCCGCCTGCAGTAAGTGAGAACCTCACATAAAACGGCGGCCTTGTGATGACCCGGTTAGGAGAGTAGAGGTATTAGATTTGACTTATGTTAAGAAAGGTAGGGATAGGCCTAAAAAGATTGGTTAGAAAATATTAGGAATGACCTTTCTTTATTAGATTTAAACGAGAATTTGACTTTTAATAGGACACAATGGAGAAAAAAGATTCATGTAGCTGACCCCACGTAGTGGGATAAAGGCTTGATGTTGTTGTTGTTGTTGTTATATAGCAGTAGGGTATATAAAGCCTGAGGACATTATTTCCATCGCACTGATTAAAAAAAAATGTTACAATTAATATCAAAGTTATCATGTTTAAATCAAATAATGGAGATTTATCTTGTCGGACAACCAAATTATATAAACTAAAAACCTGCAATCGAAGAATTTATCAATTTCTAAAATTAAGAATATAAGCACCTTCAATTTTTGGCATTCTCTAATTTTTTGATAGAAAAAAATGTAAATTTTATCCATACCATTAGAATAAGATCAAAGTAAGCACGTTGAACCGCATAAATCGCTTCTAATCCATTATGCACAACATCTATCTTGTGACCCAGCTGTTTTAACATCGACTTTGCAACCATTATATTGATTTTGTTATCTTCTACAAGAAGAATCTTGGGTTGTGAGCCAGTTTTAGGAAAATCAGACCTTCCATTTGATGTGATCTGAGCATTCTGTTCTTTCTCTAGCGTATGGTGTTGACCTGGTATCTTTGATTCATATATTTGATATGAATTGTCTTCCACTATAGATCCTAATGGTGAACATGTGGGATATGCAACCTTATCTGCAATGCCAGAATATGAATTGTTGCGGATCGAGACATCAAAGCTATCTGTATTAACTTGATGTTCTTTCTCTTTTATGTTTAAGATTTCTGATTTATTTCTATTAACCTGTATAGAACCCTGAGAAACTTCAGGCACAGCTTCTTCATTACATCTATAAGAATCTGATCCTGATTCTTCAGATAATCCATTGCCTGCAATCGAAGTGCTCACTGTACCACTGCACAGCAGATTAGATTTGCGAGCAGGGGATCCACACAAGGAGAAACCATTACTCAGAGAGCATGTTTTAAATAGAAATGATCCATTGAGTACATCAAGATTGATATCATGTTTAACTTCACAATGAGACATGGAAGATTCTCCATCTGAATCATCTGAGCCAGCTTGCTTTTGAGGAACCTTGCAAGGTAAAAGAAATGTGAATGTTGACCCACAATTTACTTGGCTAGTTACTGTAAGACGTCCACCCATCAGCTCCACCTATATCAATGGCAACACAGACTTAACGTAATAGTTTCATAATATTTGGAAGCATAAAACGCAAGAAATCACTATAAATGAATAAATGTTTTTACTCATTTACTTGAAATCAAGACATTACATATATAAGGGAATTCAAAAAGGAAAATTGATTGGATCTGCCCTTCCTGGCATTCTGAGTCTGCCTTAACCTGTTAGACGGTTTTAATAAGTTTGTCAATTGCACTCTAGATACACAACGCACAACAACTCACTTACGTAAATTAGCTAAAGAACATTGTTCCAACGAGAACTGGTTAAACACAAACAGAATATTGTTCCATAGAATTCAGCCTGGTAATAGGAAAATGCTTTAAGGTATTAGGATGGCCGGACATTTTAAACTATACTGTAGTTGCATATTGAGAAGCTCAATTTTAGCCCCATCCTAAATTGTGTAATATACAAAAAATTTAGAATGACGTTACTTGTTAATCAAACTCCCAAAAGCTTTTATTATAGGGTTCTCTGGAGCGCTACGTGAGAAACACCTAACAATAATGCTGCAAAAAAAAAAGCAATGAAAATGACACAGGAAAATATATCTTATATTGCAAATTACTTGGTATCTTCTGTCTAAGGGTGAAAACATCCAGTCTATATATCATTCCCATAAATGTTTCTCTAATCTTATTATTTGAAGAAGATAGAAAGCAACTTTGATCACCATGCAAGATGAACCAACAACTCTTGGAGGTCTCTCAATGACAAAACTAGACTAAAGATCATAATATTCTGCCACCTTGCCGATCATTATTATTCATTTTATTATGTAGAAGAATGGGTATTGATTCAATTCAGTGTTTTACTGGACAACCGTGCACACGAATTCAATTTTGATATTTCACATTTTTTTCTATTTCGTTGGTAATAGTAATTTCATCACCTCTTCTATGAAAAGAAGGATAATATCTAACATAAAAAGTAAGAAGCCATTGGTGTACCCTACCAGTTGTTTGCAAATCGCAAGGCCAAGTCCTGTTCCACCATATTTTCGTGCATGATCGGCACTGACTTGCATATACTTCTTGAAAAGTGAGGGCAACGCCTTTTCTATATGAAAAATAGGCAGCCAAAGGTTAATCTTCTAAAACAAAATATGTAAAAGTGGAAAAGACATCTTCTAGGAAAGGAAAAAAAATGAAAACAAGAAAAATTTCTATTCTGTTGCTATTTTAAATAGAGTTTAGATAGAATAGCTTTGAGTCACCTGGTATTCCTATCCCAGTGTCATAAACATCACAGTGAAGTAACACGATCTTTTCGCATGGCTGCTGTTTCTCCTCAGATGCCAAAGATGTTTCCGTTGCAATTTTGCAATAACCATTATCTTCTTTATCTTCGCGACTTCGTAACATGCCTTTATTGCTACAGCTTTTGGGTTTCAGAGAGTTTTCTTTTGTTAAACTTGAAGAAGAATTCTCAGCAGGACGGATCTCATCATGACCATTTAAACAACTTAGATATTTTTCTGATTGCAACTTAAGGTTTACACCCACTTTTCCTTCATGTGTAAATTTCACTGCATTACTGGAAAGAAATGTGTATATTTAGTCCAGTATAAAGATGCTTTCTTACTGTTAGGACATCAAAAACAATTTCGTGCAGTTACACCTAGTAATTGCTGAGAACATTGAGCTGAAATTTGTCAATCAAGTAATTAAGTGCAATTGCTGAAATGCTAAATTTTGCAGCATAATAACTCATCCAATAATTTAACTAGTGCTTCTAATTATAGCCAGTACGAAAAAGCAATGGTAGCCATATAAAAGTGAAGGAAACATAGCTTCAATACTGCATGCTGCACACGAGTAAAAAATGCATTGCGATCATTAAAAGCATTTGATCAATCGACAAAATATGTTCACTTTCACATAAAAATGTGTACACATATAATGTTATATTATGTCTATGACTATGCTATTGATAGCTAAATTAAGTGTGATAGAAGTGATAATTTTAAAGTGAATGTGTGATCAAATTAGGAAGGGTAAATAGACAAAGAAATTATTAAATTGGAGAGAAAGGAGAAACATCGATCAAATATGATGACATAGAAATTGTATTTAGGAGTTTGTAAATGTACAATCACATGTAGAAGATGCAACATTATGTTGTCCTCAATACCAGCCCCGAAGTCGAGTCAATTGCGCACAACGAAAATGATGACAGAAGAATACAACATCGCGCGAAAGCTATCCAAAACACATCGACAAAAAGCCAGAATCACCAAAACAAGGTTCATTCGCATTCAAGACATAAAAATAAAATAAAAAGAGAGAGAAGAACAAGATTGATGTCCTCTCTTGGCTTGTCCGTTGAGCTTTTTTTTTTTTTTTTTGAAAAACGAAAACAGAAAAGAAAAGACAAAAAAGGGCGGAAAAACAAAAATTAAAAGAAAAAAAAAACCTAAAACTAAAACCTAAATTTGTCTAACCCTCACGTAACCCCTTGTTGCTCACACTCCCAACCACCCACATTCCCTCACATGCTACAATCGACTATCCCCTCGTTGCTCACACCCTCAACCACCCACATTCCCTCACATGCTACAATCGATTGAACCCTCTCTCTCTCTCTCTCTCTCTCTCTCTCTCTCTCTCTCTCTCTCTCTCTCTCTCTACTCACCTATGCTAACAACCACAAATGGTCATCTCTCACCGTCGCCACCATCCAACCTAGCCGACCACCTCTCTCCTTCCGTTTCTTCTTCTTATTCTTCTCCTTCTCTATTTTCTTCCTCTCCTCTTTTTCTTTTTTCTTCTTTCTTAGGTGTGATTTGAGACAACATTCTTACTGCTTTTTAAAGCAGGTTTCTAATACAAAAATTTCTAATTTAAGAAATTTTTGTACTAAAAAGATGCTTCAGATAACAATAAGAAAGCTATCCCGAACAAAATCTTATTCTCTCTTCTTCCTCCATAACTCGTTCCTCTAACATCTTCCCCTCACTCTCCCCCTTGACCCCACATATCTCTCTTCATAGACCCTGTTCCTACTAATCTCTCTCTCTCTCTCTCTCTCTCTCTCTCTCTCTCTCTCTCTCTCTCTCTCTCTCTCTCTCTCCTCCATCTCCTCCCCTCCCATTCTCTCTCTCTAAAATTAAAGACTAGAAAATTATTTTCTCTCTTTACCCATTTTCTATCTCTAAAACCCTTCGCCCAACGCCCTCTCTCTCTCTCACAATCTCTTTCTCTTTCTAATAGAAATAAAATAATATCTCTTTCTCTCTCTAGAAGGACATGGAATCTTCTATTCTTTTTTCTCTCTCCAGAAAGAGAAGCAAAATCCTCTCTCTCTCTCTCTCTCTCCCCTCCCCCCCCCCCCCCCCCCCCCCCCCCCCCTTTAGCCTTTTTATCTCCCAAAAAAGAAATGAAAAAAAGAGCAAAAAGAGAAAGTAAAAAAAGGATTTTTTTTTCTTTGCGCAACCTCGCTTCATCATCTCACCACCACGCACTCGAAGGTATAAATCTCACAACTTTTAAAACTCCAAAATCCTAGACACAACGCATTTGGCCTATCGAGCAAAACCCATGCAGGTTTTTAATAGTTGTTAGTCGTAAACGAAGCTCACAAATCAACAGGTGGGCCTCCTATGCATTGTTTTTAGCATAGTTGGTAAATTTAAATAATCGTGCATGTCTCTCTTGATGCGGCAAGGAAACACTGTCACTTGTAAACATGTACCTGAAGACCCTTACATTGTCATTCTAACTGGTGGGATTGAAAATTATGGTTGCGGTGTTTCACGATATTGACGTGGTGGGAAGGTCCAACATACTCGATAAAGTCCCTCTACTCGAAGATGTCGAGATGCTGCTGAAATTTGAACTTATAGGGGACCCAAACAAAACTTAAAAAAGGACTAAAATGAATTAAAATTAAATTAATAAAAAAATAATTAAAAAATAAAATTGAAAAAAATAAACCGAAGTAAAAAAAAGAGAGAAAGTTTGAACTGAAATAGGACATACAAAGAACTTGCAGTAAACTTGACAGCTCGCCAATGAGCGCAAACCAAAACTTCCACTTTGCTCCTAAGACACCCAGGAACGCTCAAAATTTAAGAGAACACACACCCAGTGAACTAAACTTCGATGAAAATGAACCAAATAGGCTTCTCCCTATTTATAACCTAAAAATTAATTCATCTGTGAGGTCTACTAAACTAAAATTCAATCATATGAAAACAGAGAAGGTATGCAAATGTAAAACATGCCAAAATATTGCTTCATGCTACTCACACATGAATTCTTAATACAATCGTAAATGTAAAAAAATATGGGTGATAATGCACCTAAATATGAGTAATAATTGATCTAAAATGTGAAATTACAGGTACAATCCCACGACAACACATTCACGTGAATGAGACTGCCTTGTCGGACTCTTACAAATCTCCAACAGCTACGTGTCCCCTATAAGCATAAGCAAGTGCACCTAAGATATACAAATTCAATGTACAATAGCATGAAGAAGCATACAAGCATTCAAGTATGCAAATGCACTGCATAAGTGCATCGAAATTCCTGCAAATGCGCCGTATAAGTACATTACGAAATATAAAAGTGTGTTACACGTATGCACTGTGGCACATGCAAACATGTTGTGCAAGTGCAAAAAAAAGTGCACAAATACAATGAAACTTTACAATCAATTTTTAAATTTAAAACCATCTTTAGAATGAAATGTTCGTATGTGCTACGATCAGCATAGTGAATATAAAAACATAACATCCAAGAATGCTACATGGATTAGACAATAATAAATGATTTTTTTAAACTTGTAACTCTGAAGAGCGTGCAAACACACTATGTAAATACATTGAAATGCATGCAAATACAACATGTGAGTGCATAAAAAAGTGTGCCAACACAATCAAAGTATGCAGATGCATTATGCAAGGGTAACAAGGAGTGTGCAAGTGCATCGGGCAAACGTACAAAAAAGCAAACACATCATTTCTCCACATATGCTTAAACGAATATATTAAGTGTTTAAATTAACCATCCAAGAATGTTGTGCAAGCTAAATATGAATCTAAAACTTCAAGTTCAATTCTCCTTGAAAGGGTTGGAGTTAACAAGACTCGAACCCAATGAATAGACACACAACCATGAAGTCTACGAGAATATTTGATTTTTTAAGTTCACATTAGGCCTTCAATACCTTTTACAAAAAAAATATTTATATTACAAAAATTACAAACTCTTAGGTTTAACACTTGTGTAAATATTCACAAAGTTGAAATTGAGCCGAATCCTGTGTTGGCTAGTAAACAAAGTTAATAAGTCTTGAATACATAATGAAGAAGAAAGAATGTTTTGTGGGTTAAATATGGACTCAAATGTGAAGTCCAATTCTCCCTCTTAAAAGGATTGGAGTCGATAAGACTTCAATTAACGATCAAATGTTAGGCCACAAAATTCACAAAGTTATTTGATTTTTACATTCATATTAGGCTCTCAAGATCTTCTTTGAAGAAAATTTATTACAAATAAATACAAACTATCAAGTTAAATGCCCGCATAATGATTCATAAAACTTATATGCAACCTCGATCCTCTGTCGACAAATAAATAGAGTTGATAGGGTTAAAATAACAAAATCAAGTTATTTAAAATCCTAGTGATGGTTGTATTGATAAAAAATCTTAGCAGAGGGGACAACTTAATTTTTAAAAATACCCCAAATTCTAAAGTCAATTATTTAGGGTTTAAATTTTTAATAAAATTAAAAAAAAAAATCAATACTTAGCAAAATTTAAATATTTAAAGTGAAATTAATCGACTATAATTTAAATTAAAATCCACATCTTTTACAAAAGTTTGTTAGTTGTGATAAATTTGAGAATAATCTTAGCTCGTAAAGAGTGAATTTCTAATCAAGAATATCATTAAAATTTATTCTTAAATGATATCCCACCATTAAGGATGTGTAACCGGTGGTTTTATAGCTCAATGGCACCAAAAATAAACAGTTATGACTAGGGGCCCTCTAACCATGTAATTTTGCCACAATATGACATCATTATGTTACATTCATGGCCAAATCCAATATGTTCATCAATAACTCTAAATCATTGACTAATGAATCATAAGATATAATTGATAGGGTCTTGTTGACCCCTATACCTCATACCACACGAGAAACTCGTGAATAAAGCGATACGCGCCTTGGCATCACACATCACTTGAAGGGTCAAACTACATCTGATTGCGAAACGGACAGCGTCGTTGCGATCAGGATGTCGAATTCTGCTAGGTTGAGGCCCCTCGCAGTCGAACCGAATGAGATCGGTCAAAAGGGATGACCGATACCCGAAATTAAAACACGAGGTTGATCAAACGACGTTCGATCGTGAAACGGACTGCGTCATTGTGTTTGAAACACCGGCAATACCCTAAATGCAAGATCAATTTGTTCTATTAAGGTTGCGCATACAAATCGAGGCGGCATCATGTAAAAATTACCCTCGGCGTCGCCCAAACGACGTCTGATCTCAAAACGGACTGCGTCGTTGCGACCGG